TATGTAAATATTGCAGATTAGATCAAATTAAATTGTCAGAATTTAATTTCTGTGTGGTCTGTGTTTCTCTCCTCAGTGTATGTGAGATTGTCGGGCAGTCCGACGGTGGTTTGTCTGTGCTGAGGACCTTCAGACTGCTGAGGGTGCTGAAGCTGGTAAGGTTTATGCCAGCTTTGAGGAGACAGCTGGTGGTCCTTATGAAGACCATGGACAATGTGGCCACCTTCTGCATGCTGCTCATGCTCTTCATCTTTATTTTCAGGTAAGGTTATATGTCGGTATAGGTAGGATATCTGCATCCGTCCATTATATTGTTGTCCATTTGTTTCGCAGTCGTTTTTAGTTTTTTCTTACAGGGAGACGACATAGAGAACGCTCATTGTTTCATCCTCTGCTTTTATGTGCGTTTGTATGTGCTGGCCTCCGTGTTTTTTGTAGTCCTGTGCACCTGCTTAAGATCTGCCATTGAAGCGCAGAAGGTCGCAGTGTTCTGTAGCAGCTATTAACCCTGGGTGCAAAATAACGAGCAGACACTTGAAGATCTGGTTAGAATTTAACAAGCAGACACTTAAAGAACTGGAGCAACATAACAAGCAGCCATTTGTAGGCTCTTAAGCACTAACACAGCAGTGCTCTGAAGGCCTAAGAGGTCTTTCAGTGTACGATCAATGGTCGCAGTCCTCTTTGTTTTCCTCCCTCTCAGCTTCACGTTCCACTTGAGCCAATTCTTGCTTTTGAAAGGTGATGTGAAAGTGAAAAAATGTGTGTGTTAAGATACATATACATACAGAGTCAGTACTTGATATTGTTTTACTTGTTGAGCTTACATCAAACTTCTATTATGAGAGGGTTGTATTTTGTGTATTGGTGTCACTTCTGAGGTTGTGTGTAAATGTAAGGTGTGTTCCCAAAATCTCACATCCTAGCTATGCACTACCATTTGCTCATGTCATGTTTGCTTAGTCAATTTAAGATAAGATAATAAAAAATAAGATGATAAGATGTTCCTTTATTGATCCCCCATAGAGGAAACTCAGATTTGGCACAGCAGTACAGGGGAATGTTGTGCGTTGTAAGTAGAGAAATTATAAAATACAATAAAATAAAATATAACAACAAATATAAATGTACTATATTGAATAAAGTGGAATATGGTAAGCCTGCCTATAACTATACATGTGCAAGGTTCAAAGATATTGTGAAAAAAGAGTTAACAGGTTAATAGTAAATAGTCTCAATCAGTGGAGGTGGGAGGTACAGGGTGCTGTGGTGTTGTGTAGTCGGAGGACTGATGTCACAAATGAGCCACCCAAGTGCTTTGAGGCACAGGGCTGGATTAGTCTGTAACTAAGGTTGGTAACTCAATTGTTAGAAACATTATCCATGACAATGCTGTTCTCAGGTGCTGGTTACAATTGTTTTACAATTACTACTACTAATTGTATCCACAGTTTCATACCCTTGAAGGAATTATTATACTTAACTATTATCTATTAATTGTATGTAATAAACCGCACATTAAAAGTTCTCTTCCATTACTTTTAAATGTTATAGTAATTGTGTGGTACTTTACACGGGCAACAAGGCCATTGGAGAAGATTACATCTTATGTAACCAGGCTTTAGGGTTTAGTTGCAATCAAACATTAACATTTATTTCCATTATATCAGCAATACATCTTTTAGTTGCAGCACAACACATAGAGCTGGTTATAAGAGTCAGCATTTATAAAATAAGAAGTTGAAACTAAGAAAATACTTAATCATCTAAAGCCCTTCCATGAATAATGCTAAGAACTAGGCCCTGCAATCATCATGCCTCAAAGAAAATCTGGATCCACATTTAATTATTAGTCTGGTACAGAAAATGATACATTAACAGTGTGTAGAGTATGCTAACATCATCAGATATTCTGCTGTTGTGTTGCAGTATCCTGGGGATGCACATATTTGGCTGTAAGTTCAGTCTCAAGACAGAGACCGGTGACACAGTACCAGACAGGAAGAACTTTGACTCCCTTCTCTGGGCCATTGTCACTGTTTTCCAGGTAATCAGGACATCACTATTTGGATGAACATGCACACAAACACATTAGCACAAATCTCTACATAACTACTGCACTTATGACCTACATCTCTCACTATATGCAGATGACTTGCACATATTTCTTAAGATTCAATACATTTCTGCAGTTTTTTTATAGACACTTTAACCTGTAAATTGGACCATTTAAAACTGATGTAAACTTTTGCATACAAAATGTAAATCAAATTTGTGAGTTACAATTAAGTTATTAATTAAATGATTCACATTTTTACACACACCCACACGTTTTGATAATACAACAATCTGTAATAATTTATGTGCAAAAAGCATATTAAAATTATGTGGTAGACTGATGAGGACACTCATTTCAGTAAACTTCAGTATGTTGGATTTGTATTGATATTTAATTAATACATTGTTTAAATGTTCTACTTGTGTAATATCAACACCCTGTGTAAGTGGTTTACTTATATAATTCTCTCAGATTCTGACCCAGGAGGACTGGAATGCAGTTTTGTACAATGGTATGGCAGCCACCTCACCACTTGCTGCTCTTTACTTCGTGGCCCTTATGACTTTTGGAAACTACGTCCTCTTCAACCTTCTGGTAGCCATCTTGGTTGAAGGCTTTCAGGCCGAGGTAAGGGAACTCATTTTGCCACATGGCTTCAAACTGCAAGATGTAACCTTGTTTCCGTAATAAATAGATGTCCGAATTTTAATTTAGTTGACCTTCATGATTCATGATTGAGGTTCCCAGGCCAGGTTTGTTGATCTTATTCATTACTATCCTTTTAGTAGAATATTAATTAGGTTCAACCTGCAACAAAAGAGGTGAAATATTTCAAATTATCACAGCCCTTTAACAGCAAACAAACAAGTGTAGCAAATTAATAACCTCTTACCTTAATAATAATTAAATTATTTACTCCATACAAGTGCCACATTTCTAATATTGTCGAAGGTAATCTTTTTTTTACCAAACCTTGGCCTGTAAATTGATGATTTCTAATAACTCTTTCGGTTAAACTTTCAAACTTTGACAGCTCTTCTATGTTTGGCTTGTCTGTATCCATCCATCCTTGTATTCTGTGCACAGCGTCCTCTCCTATGAACAGCTGACATCCATCTGTCTGTGTTTCTCAAAGACTAAAGACTTTAACCTTTGGCAGTGACCTTCACAGCTCAAAATAAGCCCAGGCTCTTGTGTCCTGCTGATTCTCATAATCACAGAACTGTGCAGATTGACATGCATGGAGATACTGATAATGAAACACTCTCAGATGCACAAGTATGCTTTTAGACTAAACCACTAAACACCCTTGTAGAATGTGGTCACTATTCTTCACTGCTGAGTAGGGAATGTGAAGGTCTTGTATGGGTGGGGAGTTTTGTGAGTGACAATACAGGACAAGAAGTGGGTTATGAAAAGCAATACAATACAAGTTGCATAACAGAAGTTGATCAACTCCCATTAGCCTCAATAATGTACTGTATTATCTTATGTTTGTTTTTACTTTTGCCCACTTACAAACATAAAGACATTTTTAGCTAGATTGTATTGATAATTAAACTAATGATGATAATTTCAAGTAGAACAAAGCACATATTTACCAATCGGTAATACATTGGAAAATTCAGTCATAATACTAAAATCAGCAGACCTACTCTTTCTAGTAAATGTATTTCCTGTGTACATCGAGGATTTATGTCCCTAAATCCACTTAGAAACCATAAACAAAAGATGCTCAGCTTCAGATTCTGCCTCATAATCAAATTGTCTCAAAAATAATCCAGTTGATTGTTGTATATGCATAGAGACATGTTTTCTGTGTGTGCACACAGTCTGTACAGTAAATCTATATTGGCAGTGCAAACAGGAACTTCTGGTAGCTAATGTATCATGGCTTTCTCATGGCTCAGATTTGCCAAAATGTAAAAGAAAATTAGCTATAACTAATCAGTGTTCAGGTAAAGCCCACAGCCACAGTAAAGTACAACGGACTACATCATAACATTACACTTGTTGTTGACATTACCTAAAGCATAATAAGAAGACTGGTTACAAACATTTATTATTCTGAGAATGAGCTCTAGCATGTCAAGTTTAGACATGTAACACTATTCCACAAGCATACACTATAAAGGGGGTGTAAGCCAAGCAAAAACAGCTGTTTTCAAAGGGTAACAAATCAATTTATTCTGTAGAAATAGTAATTACAGTACTGGTCACAATAATGATGTTTATCAGAGGCTGTATCAGCAGTCAAAACATAATAATGGTGTAGTAAACACAACAGTGTAATTTCTGGAGCCATCCATCTCAGTGGAAAACACTGGAAAATGATGCTGTCAATCTGCCATCAACTGTCAAACTCACAGATGTATCATTGGTAAATTGTAGTGTGGTTGAGTAATCCGGTTGAGCTTTCATACACGGATCAAAGCATTTCAATATTCAAGGCATGTAGCTGTGATGTGTGAGTTGGAGGGGAAGCACTGACACAAATCACAAGGCTTTTGATTGATCTTTTTGAAATGCCAAAACAAAACACAGCCATCAGCCTTTTATTTTCTTTCCCTCCTCTGACTGTTGGTCTTTCCCCCTCTGGCTCTCTCACCTTCTGCCACTCATCCACACTTTGTCTACTACTGCTACACACCAGGGATTATTGAGCCAATTGACTCCAGATTTTCCCATTGTGACGAGTGAAGGGGAAATCCCATTGGTAACCTGTGCGATTGCGGAAGAGTGTGTCAGTAGTTTGAGGGTTTTACTGATTTAATCTTAAAATATAACATAGATCTGAACCACCCTGATAACCTCAAATATGTTTGACAGTTGGTGGGAGAGAGCAGAGTCTATCGCTTTGACAGATGTCACACAGGAGATTAGAGGTCCTGAGTCAAAATCTGTTACAGTGCACTTTGAGAGTCCCCAATAGGATGAGCCATGTGTAATTCCCTGTCTTTTCTTTTTTCTCTTTTTCTCCTGTGTTTGTGTCTCACCTCCTTTTCGTCTCCAGGGTGATGCCAATCGTTCGTATTCGGATGATGACCACTCCTCCTCCAACTTTGACGAGAGCGAAAAACATGACTCCATAAAGTTGTCAGGTGAGCTGACGGCACGTTTCCTTTTAATTCTTATAATTACAGTATACTTTTATACTATACTTATTAGTTTTCTGAATCACTGACTTGAATTAATTTGAAATAACTGACACATCTATTGTAGGCTGGGAATAAATATACTGTAGCTAACGCATCTTTAAAATCATCCTGAGCAAGGTAGTCCAGACATCCTCTCTAGAAACGTTTTTGCCGAGGCATTCCCAGGCCAGATGAGATACATAATCTCTCCTGCTTGTTCTGGGTCTACCCCAGGGTCACCTACCAGTTGGATGTGCCTGCAAAACTTCCAAAGGAAGACACTCAGGAGGCATCCCGATCAGATGCCTGAGCCACATCGACTAGCTGCTTTCGATCCAAAGGAGCAGCATCTGTACTCAGAGCTCCCTCTGGATATCTGGGCTCCTTACGCTGTCTTTAAAGCTGAGCCCAGCCACCCTACAGAAAATCATTTTGGCAGCTTGTATCTGCAACCTCATTCTTTTGGTCAATGCCCAGAGCTCATGACCATAGGTGGGGGTTGGAATGTAGACTGACTCATAAATCAAAAGCTGTGCTTCAGATCCCTCTTCACCACAATGGTCCAGTACAACTCCTACATTCCTCCTGGCCATCTTATTCGAGAGCTTTTTCCCAAAGTAAAATATGAATATGTCTGTATCACCGAAATCAGTATCTAATGTTTTTTTTATTTTTTTACTTTTCCGTGTCACTTGATAACCAAATTTATAAATTATAAAGTACGAGAGAGTTGCAATTTACAACAACACCTACACTTCTTTGAATTGTGTCTCAAATTTGATTCACCACTAATACCACAATTCAGATCTCAGATTTTGCCATTCATGTCAAAACTAAACAACATGCACAACAATCTGCTTGCATCTTACATTAAAGCCAGTAATCTTTGTTGTCCATTGAGGCTTATTGGAGAAGCTAGATGTGTTCAACCCAAAAGTAAGATGTGCCAAAGGCTTAAAACATCGCAAAAACCTGAATAGCTAGTAGTTTTGAAATATGAATGAGCTCTATCTTTATCCAGAGCTCACAATGAACCTGTATCAGCTATACAGCCTTCCTCAGCAGACCCAGTAAACAATGCAGTTCATAGAGGATTAAACATGAGTTCAGAGACTGGGGAATCACTCCTATACAGAATGAGTGGGCAACTGCTGCAGAGGAGATGTGATCTCTGCAGTGCACTGTAAGCAAAAGATGAAACTCTGCGGTCGTTTATAGACGGAAATATAACATAAGGTGTTTTACTGTCTGTCCACTTCAACCACACAGAGGTATTCGCTTTTGTTGTCTAGGTTTTCTTTTTGTGTGTGTGGGTAGTAAGTTTTCATTATCTGCCTCCCTCTCTCTCCATTTTTGCCTTTTATTTTTATTTTTGTTTTAAGCTTAAAAGTCCATTGTGTAACATTTAGGGAGGCTCTATCGGCAGAAATATAATATGCATAACTATGTTTTCATTTCTATATAATCATCAGGGAATAAGTTATGTTTTCATTATCTTAAAATTAGCCCTTCATATTTACAGATACCACAGGTGGCCTTCCATGCAGGCTGCCATGTTGAACCACCATATTTTTACAGTATCTTAGGAGGATCTTCAACTAGGGGGCACATTTTTGCATCATTATCCCACCATTTTTTGAGAATTAAATTAAGTGAAAACAAAATCAGAATTTATTGTATAAGAAACAGTTTTCTTTTCACATTTTTCTACATTTACCTCTTAAAGGACCGGAAAGTCTAATAGCTGTTAATATCTAATCTATAGGTTTATGATTTCCAAATGTGTTTAGACTTTCTCTAGACCTCTATTACTTGATATTTTTTCGAAACCCTTACTATGTTATTTCTGCAATGTCTCCGTGCACCTACATGTATAACCTTCAGCAGATTGAAGCCCGTGGCCTGGGGTTTGTCAAATGTCATTCTGAAAAATGTAGGAAATCACTACAAGACAGCTTGATAGAAAGTGGTTGAGACAGAATTGCAATCTTATGAGAAGATAACTTCAAGAATTAACTAAAATTATAGATTGAAAATGCCTAAAAAGTAGGTAAAAGTATGTGAGTATGCATTATGCCTTAAACACCAAATGGGTAGTAGGGGAGTTGGCAACATACAGTACATTGGATGGATGGCACAAGAACACAAATACTTTTTAACTGCTTTCTCTGTTCAACTACCTTTAGACCCAAGGATCTGCACGCTGACACCCAATGGCCACCTGGAGCTGGGTGCTCTCTCCGGGCCCAGGGGATCCTATTCCTCAGAGAGGCGAAGCTTCACCATCGAGTCCAGAAAGAGCAGCGTGATGAGCCTGGGAAAGAGCAGCTTGGAGAGACGCTCCCTCTCTCTGGTACGCAGTTATACTCTTATCCACTGACACTCACACACACCTTTGTAGATCAGTCAGCATTACATTAAAGGACCATACAGCTGTCAGCCTGTTCACCACAAATGATATGCATCACTGCCAACCATTTTCTAACCATTCCATCAACACTTTATTTCGACGTTTCAACTTTGAGAAGAGAAATAGACACATTTGTTCTACCTTTTCAGAAACAGTTTTAGTCAGTATGTCAGTATGGTATGAAATCTGTGCAGACTTTAAACTGGCATGAGATGAGTAATAGTTAATACAGGTGAAAGCGTGATGTGTTAATATCAAACCCAGACAAGACAAACAAATCAAACATGGATTTTGTGAAATCGATTATTGTTTTTATAATATATTATTAGTTTTTTAGTTAAAAAAAGGTTTGCTGTTACATTTCACACACCCAACAGCAGCATTATCATTTCATGAGAATAATTCTAATACCAGTTGCAGTCTGTCATGGAGAAAACTGTTCCTCTATTCTATTCAATTGCAAAAAAAACGGAGAGAAGTAAAGAGGAGAACAGAGCAGAGAGATGGTGATGGAGGGAGACAGATAAAGTGATGCAGTGACAGGAAGATAGAGGGGAGTGGAAACTAGAGCCCTGATAAGCTGTAGTTTAGCAACGCTCTTACCACAGAGGTTATAATGTTAAACACAGTGGGTGTGGAAATCCACTTCACTGTGAAGTCCCCTCCTCTTTTCTAGCAGCACTTTGAGTTAATTGATATCAGAAGTCACCGGTTACATCACTTGGAGCAAAAGTACTGCGATGATAAGCATTCAAGAAAGATGCTTATGATCATGATAATTTCATGAGTATTATTGACATTTTGCTGCAGTTTTATCAGAAGCCGGTCCTCTTTGATGAAATCACACTTTGAACTATGAATCAGTTCCATCTGTTTGTTTGGTGGTTTGTTTGTTTCAATGTCTTACACAGTGTGTCAGACACTGCTGATTTAACTCAGATGAAAATCAGGGCAAATGATGCATCGCTCTGTTGTGTAGCAGCACAATCAAAATCATAAGTCTAATGGATGGGCTGCTTTGTTTGGATTATTTGTCCATTTGTCTGATGAAATCTACAAGAAAATATATAAATAGCTGGAGTATACAGTGAACTACAAGTCAAAAACCAAGTCAAAATAATATAAAATCATCCAAAGTTAAATTGTTTACTAATAGGGTTGCTTCAAAGGACATTCTTTAATTTAGTTTTTTGTTTGTTTGTTTACTCATTTTACGTGTCCAGGATGACACCCTTCAGTCACTTCACTGAATTTAGGAAAAATGAATTGTTCTTAAAGAGGCAGTTTGTGTCACAAAAACTACATACATAGAACAAATATAAAACAGCAGCAATAATAAGGCACTTATAAATGAATATTTTATTTTCGATTACCACAGAACCTGGATTAGTGGAATTTGTTTTCAGTACAGTACAGTAGTTAGCCTTAGTTCAGTGTCAGCAAAATTTTACCTAGACAGAAATCAATAATACAATAAACAGTATTCACTGACTGGAAAAAAGCTGTATGCTCAGTAAAACATTGCATTGATGCAGAGGTATATCGTATATCTGGATATAAACTGTTAGTTTGTTGTAAGGACAATTTGATTCGATGTAGCCACTGACATCAAAATTGCATTTTATACTGCTATATAAGAGAACACGCACAAACACAAACCGTTCCTCTTGAGTGACCGAGGTGTTATTTAACAACATGCTTCACTAAAGTTTCTATAGAGACCAATGCATAGGTTCTCTGGTATATGGCATCAGCTCAGGCTGTGACTGGTGACATGTACGTTTCCAAGTGTAAAACAACATATAATTAGGTCTGTCATGCTGAGAGGATTAGACATGCGGAAACAAACAGAACTGGTTATGTTCCTCTAAGTGGAACTGGCACTCCGGGGTTTGCATGTTTACTTTGATGACATCCTCCTGAGTGCACTGCAATCCCATTTCAAAAGCCAAGTTTATAATTCATTTGTTCAGTAATTTGCTTATTTATTAATAAATGATTGACCTACAGTAGCAGGCGTGCTCTTTTCCACTTATTCATATTGGTCCATATTAAGACACTTGTCCTGCACAGTACAGCTCTCTCCCTTTACTGACAGCCACTAAGCAGTTGGGAGAATCTTGCTTAAAAGCATTTCTGGCTAACAAGTTAAGGAGAATTCACCTTTCATAATTTTAAAGGGAAACAGTCATTTGTAAGAGTGAGCTACACATTACAATTTCATTTAGAGAGACACATGCATTGAAATCAGCAAAATAAACAATTATCAGCATGGAAAGTTATGATATTTTTTTACTAAAAAGAAAGACAATCAAATTTAAAGACCTGTACATATGGATATGCACAGTACCTGTTTCACAACAATTTCCTTCTTAGCACTTAACACTTAGTAATGCCTTTCTTGTATACAGCACACATTCATTGGGAAATGGTCTTTGGTGCTTGGATAGATTTGTTTTTTTTTACTGGATGCAAACTACTGATAATTATAATAAACTGCTGTGTATCTATTCTAGCGTCATGGTCGCAGTCCCAACTACCACAACTGGGGGCGCCCTTTCCATCCACAATCTGCATGGAGCCGCAGGTAGCTAATTAAATATACTTCCAGAGATTGATTTCAGCTGTTACCTTAATGAATTTTTAATACCCTCATTAAGCCTTGATTACCAACATGAAAACATCAAACCTTCGCTGTTGTTTTATGCTCTTATTAGCTCCATGACTTAACTCTTAATATGTCGAATAGTGTTGATTACTTCTTTATTGATACTTTATAAATTGTTCATTAATATTAAATGCCTCTTAACTGTACTTTTGAATCTGTATGCTCTGCAGGTCTAGCTCAAACAGCCTGGGCCGGAGGAGCTACGGGTTTGGTGGGGCTCCCCTGGTGGGAGGCAGTCTGCGTGTGCACAGCACCCGGTCACCCCACTCCTACACCTATGCCGCAGAGCAGGAGTCCCTTCTCTCCCACTCATCCCACTCCCATCATCCTCCACACCCACATCATCCACCTCCACCCCCACTGTTCCTCTCCAGACACTTTGCTGCGAGGGGGGATCGACGGGCTCTTTCCCTGGAGCTCCCAGAGCTGCTTCGGGCAGGAGGACAGCCCCCTGGCCTGCCCCCTGTCCACCTAGACACTGGGAGGAGAAGTGGATCTGGTACAGGGGGATCCATCACTGGGGGATCTGGAGCTGGTAGTGGTTTAGGAGTGGACCACAGAGACTGTAATGGCAAGACACCAGGTCCCCACACTCAGCTGATGGCTGAGGTTTTCCCTCAAGTCAATGCACGCAAGGACAGAACAGATTTCGATGAAGAGACAGATTATGTGAGTCTATTATGTGAGGGACTACTAAATGAAGAAACTCTTAAGAGCTTACGGTGGTACTTTATTCTGTTAATTGTATTGGGACAAGGTATCAAACTAGATGCTTTAGCTTTAGGAGAGATGCTATTGTTGTTTATCTGTCAAAATGAGAGAGGAGCTTTAGGGCTTCACTCAGCTAGCAGTGGATAAATGGGGAATTCTTTATTGGTTCCCTGAAAAAACATAAGCCATAATCATTGTGGGAGTTGGTGTAGAAAATGAGGCAGCAGTATTGGTTTATCTAACCTCTGCAGCAACTTTGCAGTCACTTTATGAAATTTCCGAGCATTCCTGAGTTCTTCTAATTTCATCTGGGTGAAAATATTCAATCATTTTAATAGTATTTACTTTGTGGACGGAAAGAGGATCAAATGAAGAGTCGTCAGAAAAAGAAGATAAATATTGTACATACTGGAGTTGTGGGTGTTGATCCATGTGCCACTTTTATCATAAAGTCTGATAATGCTAATGCATAGAGCTAATAATGCTCTAATGAGCGGAAATTCAGAAATGTGAACACGAAATGTATGATATATATATCACTGATGAAAGATTACTTAGTGATTTGCTTGATAATTTGATCACCTCTCATCTCGATTCCCTTTTCCCTCCTCTCTCCTGCAGAGTTTGTGCTTCCGTATCCAGAAGATGATGGAGGTGTACAAGCCAGACTGGTGTGAAACAAGAGAGGAGTGGTCCGTTTACCTGTTCTCCCCTCAGAACAAGTGAGTGAGCTTCAGTAAAAACTAATGAAAAATCATCATTGAAGAACAAAGAGCACGTTCCTTGGAGTTTCACTGTTGTAGTTTCTTTGGCTTTGGGAAATATGTTACATAAGCTGGGTTAGAGTTTATCTTCCTGCTGGGGGAACACAAAAGCAAAAGATGCACACTCATGGTATAGTTTTCAATAATCAAAGAGTCAATTTTTTCTCTTAGTATTCTCTTTTGACTCATGATTTCTCCCATATTATTTCATCAACCATCTCTGTCTCATGTATTGTGGCATTTCCAAAAATATCCCTAAAAAAACTTTAATAGTGAAAATAAATAGAAGAAACCTCAGTCAGAGCAACTGAGGTGGGATCCCTCTCCCAGAAAAGACAGGCAATTAATGTTGCAGGTACCTAATAGACTCAGGATGACAAAGTCATAGATAGGTTTAAACATATATGAAGCTTATGGATCCGGGAGGACGTCAAGCAACTTCAGGGAACTGATCTGAAGAAAAAATGTGCAACAAATCTCTGAATGTGTCAGTACTTGTGACAGTTGCAGATGTAGCAAAGTATTTCTACCAAGCGGCACTAATGCGCAGAGAAACCAAGTGTGGAAAGAGTCGACAAGCCAATAGCCCTGAAAATAAATGTTAGCAAACGTTACCAGCTCTGTCCTTGTAATGTAGAAGAACAGGGAGCTGCATAGTCACACCATTTGTCTGTTCGCGCAGAGAAAACTGCTGTCTTCTGGTTTCACAAATGGCTTGTTAAAGTGATGTCACCGTGTGCTTCCTCCAAAGGATTTTTTTTTTTTTTTTGCTTTAAACAGTGTTATTGACTGCGGGCTCCAAGTTGTGTGTTTGTCTGTTATTATGATTTCTTCCAGTCTTCAACTCATTGCTGGTAGGAATGCCCCTGAAAGCAACATGAAAGAAAAATCACTCAGTCATCTAGTCGCTCACTCACCCGATTCCCTGTGTGCTGATAGCCACTTAAGGGAAGCCAGGCCCCAGGGCTGTGTTTTGGCATGCTGGCAGGTGCCATCTGTCAAGCAAGGGCTGTGTGTGTTGGCGGTGTGTGTACTAGCATTAGGCCATATCTCTGGTGTTGTGTTGCGTGTTTGTGGATGACATTGCATATGCGCATGTGGGAACGTGCGAGCATATGTATATATATATATATTGAGTATGCCTCAGTGTACTATATATGCCTGTGTGTGTGAGTGTGAGCATATGAGTATTTGCTCTAACAAGTGTATCTAAGCAGAATTAAAGTGAAGGAAGCAGACAAACAAACAAAAGGAGTCGCAAGCCAACAACAGAAGTTATGTCTCAGGCGAGATAAGTGCCTACGCCAGCATTGCTGCTGGTCATGATCGATATCAGGGGACAGGGTTGCCAGATTTGAATCGATAGATAAAGGGACAGAGTTGCCAGGTTTAGAGGAAAAGCAGTCAGATTAGCACATTGATTTCCTCACCCAGAGAGCAGGTGCAGTAGCAGGTATATTATGTTCCCTCTATAGCTGGCAGATGAGCTGAGATGGTTGAGGGCTTCTCTCAGGAGTTGCTTACCACCTTCACTGGCTCTGACAACAACACTAAAGTCTATTCAGAGAGTGCCACAGAATGCAAACAGTATGTTAATGCCTGGTGAGACATGTTCCACTCAGTTTGAGAGGAGAGAATGATTGTTTCATTTGAATAACTGTTCAAGGCCAGGAGAAGTAAATATATTCAATATTTCTCAAAAAAGTTTAAAAAAGTACCAAAAATGTATGTACTAGAACAATGCTTTTTTCCATAAAATGAAACTACAAGTTAACCACAGCTTGTAAACAGAAACTACAATGGCTACCAATATGTTGATGTTGGTGGCCACTGGAGACGAAACTAAAAAGATCACAGTCTCTTTTGTGAAGCATGATGGAAATGTTTGTGCTCCACACATGTGCCCTTGGTCGACTGAATCACACTAGGCTTTCAACACATGAATTACTGCAGAACATCAGATCTCATGAGTACACACACCTGTGTGTTTCTGGGTATCGTAAAGAAACAGTTTTCTTGGAGGAGGAGGTGGGAACAGCTGTTTCAATGCAGTTACACATGAATGCGTCCTTGTGGACAATTCTTGAACAAATCTTGGATTCTCATCATAACTTTCCCTCTATCCATCTCTGTTTCTCTCTCTCGTCAGGTTCAGACTACTCTGCCAGTCCATTATTGCCCATAAGCTGTTTGACTATGTGGTCCTGGCCTTCATCTTTCTCAACTGCATCACAGTGGCTCTGGAGAGGCCGAAGATACTGCAAGGAAGCCTGGTAAGGACTGTGTTTCATTCTGTATAGACACTGAGCTTACCATGGTCATTAGTGTGTTGGGCACACAGTGCTGTTGGCTAAATTTGAAATACTGTGTTAATAATTAATACTTTACCACACACTAAAATTACTTTACTGATTTGCAGTATAAAAGTCTGCATCTCTGGGGTAAGACTTCCATATAAGGTGGTCCATCTGTGTTATATTAAATATTGATTTTATAGAAATGTTGGACTGATACATAACTTTATGTACAAATAGAGTTATATAAACATATGATGAGTTGTTTTTTTGTTATTTTTGTTTTGGACTTTGTACCACTTCAGTATTATAGCGTCAAACTGCCTCTTTTGAGTACATTTATTTTACAGCACATTTTTTGTTCTATTTCTTGTAAACAAGCTGTTGCTCGTTTTGAAATAATAATAATAACAATTCTACAAATGATTTATAAACCAGCAATTATTTAAATTACTTAAAATGAATCTACTTCAAAATGTGCCACTTTGTCTTCCTTGGCATCAAGCCACTTCCCTGCAATCAAGCACCAAAACATTGAATGCAAAGCACTTTTCAAAGGAAATGATCTGAAGCGTTCAAATTAAAGCTCTTTGAGATTTGGCATTTAATTTGGAAATAAGATGTAATTTTAATTTAATAGCAAAAACACTGACAAATTAAGTCAGTGAACTGTTTTAAGTCTACGCAGCAGCGGAGCAGAAATGACTGTGATTCTCATATCTTTGAAGAGTAAAGCCAAGCTGTGGTTCTGCCACTTCTCTCTTAATTCTTCTTGTCCTCCTTTAAACTCTTTCCCTTTCATTTATCTCATGTTTCGTCCTCTCTCCTTTTGTTACAGGAAAGGGTGTTTCTCACAATTTCCAACTACATCTTTACTGCCATCTTTGTTACGGAGATGACTGTCAAGGTAAACACATCCTCTCCTTTCTTCTGTTGCTCTCTTCTTCTTTCTTCACCTTTCATTACATACCATACGGTTTCTTCTTTACCCTCCTGTGTTGACCTTGTACCTCATCTTTCCTCTGCCTCTGATCTTAATTTCCCTACTGGTATTAAACTCTCGTCTTTCTCCTGTACATTTTTTATCCTCTCTTCCTTTCCTGTCTCTTCTTTTATCCTCTAATATCTTCACCTCCCCTTCTTGCTCCCTTCCACTTCTTTCCTCTCCTTGTTTCCTATTTCTTTCTTCCCCTCTTCTTCTTTATTATCTCTCGTCTCCTTTCACCTCCAGGTACTATTCTCTCTTCCCATCCCTTTTTACTACCTCCTTCTCCTCCTCACCCCTCCTTATTTCTTGACAACTCTGCAACTTTCGGTTTAATCAGTTGCACATGTCCCATTAGCGATGGGCAGCTAGATAATGCAGTTAATTAGAAGGCTATCTCTCTTCAGCTGGCCTTTAGCTACTCCTGGACTTCCCATCGATAAACACACACACACACACACACACATTCACATACTCTTTTTAATCCACTAATCTGCGGTCCTGAAGACAGAGCATCATCCATTATTAAGGACCTTCTATCTCCAGGCATTTTCCGCATTGGTAGAAACCCTATAGTGATTTATTTATGTCCAGGGATAATGAAGATGTATAGCACAATGATATGTAGATCAGATCAGCACAGTGGTGGTGCAGAGTTCACATGTGCACATATATGCATCTGGTCCACTGAACTTCGCTTTGTTTGTCATCCATTCTCTTCTGTCTCTTCATGTCCCTCTTTGCATCTTTATTTACTTCCATTCCTTCGATCAGTCTTCCGCTCACTCACATTTTCATTCGCTTTATCTTCTCTGTACCGCTCATTTGATTAATTTCATATTCATCTGTCTCTTATCGTTCTCTCTGCTCTTTTGTCCCTCCATTTGTAATTTAATCAGTCGAGCTCCATTGTTATCTGTGCCTTGCTTCATTTGCACACTGAAATGTGGTCCCAGCACACTCCTGCTGCTCATTTTTCTTATCTCAAATAGTATGTCAGCTGCTGTACTGTAGCACGAACTTCCACTCACTGTGAATCAAAGGTTTGACCATTGCAGTTACTCAGTAATGAAATATTTCTCCTGTCATTGAACGGTCACTAAATCAGGGGAATCTTCCACTTGTATTTGTACATGAGCTTTGCCTTAGCCAGTTATATGTATCATCAAAAACCCACTACACACACGTACTCATTTGTCTGTATATACTTGTGACTGTATTTATTTTCTAATGCATAAATGTCCTCAGTGAAAAACTCAATAACATTTATCTTAATATCAAGTCATGACAAGTTAGTTGTATAGCCCGACTTCTCATATAATGTTCCAGTGAGCTTACAGGCCCACAACATTAATGGTTTTATAACTAACCACACTTCCAAAAATATCTTAACCCAAACACATAACCCGAACCCAAAGAATATTCCACAGTGGTACACACATAGAGCTGCCCAGTAAAGCCATGGATGTCTTAAGTCATTTTTAATATTTATCAACAATAGCTGTTAGGTAAAAGACAAAGTGTTCACTGTCTTCAACTTTTAAATTTCCCATTTGAAGCTGAGACCTGGTCGTCATCATACCTAATAATCAGCTCTGCAGTAAAAGTTTATGTCCTTTTGTAAACTGTAAAAAGAGCAGCTTGCCAGTACGTCAGTTGTTGCCCATGAACCTACATTTTATTTTACAGCAATGCATTTTACAAGTTGCCCCGTTACCTTTAAACGAGTGGTTAGAAACATCTCTATGTCCATAATAAAGCAATCACTTTTCTGCATGGCCAGGTACCCACCAAAACATTAATGGCTGCATTAACGACTACAGCCATATCATTAAGAGCTCTCTGAGGAAACTGAAGCAGTCTGTGCCTTTGAGGTTGTGGCCTCTAAACTTTGGATCTCTCTCCCTTGCACATAGGATCTGAGGAGTGTGTACTTGCCCTTATTCATTTATTTTTATTTTTATGTCCTCATTTTGAGTCAATTTTTGATGTTTCCTTAGAAAGGGATGCAATCCAAAAAAACTTTACTTGCTTGTTTCATTATTTATTTACACACTGACTTCATTAATTACTTACTTACTTTCTTGCATACTTCCGTACTGTCTTTCTTACTTACTTAATTACTTGTGTACTTACCTATTTGCTTAGATGTTTATTTAGTTACTTATTCACTTACTCATTAATATTTCAGTTCTAATACTCAAATCAAACTGTCAGCCATTCAGCGGTGTTTTAGCTTCATAATAAGGCTTTCATGAAGATCGTTGGCAGTGCATTCACCTCTCTAGCTGCTTTCCCCCAATTTCAACACAATTTTAAACATATTCATTGTCTCGTCTTTTGACACAGGAAATATCAGATAAATACCCTCTAATTCTCACTGAATAAATGGCAAATTATTTTCATTGTGTGATCTGTTAACTAAAAGCTACACACTTTCACATGTGAGCTGTGTGCTTGGGAACATTTCAAAGTGGGAAAAAAGTAATTGCACCTTATATAATAGTGTGGTTATACAATGTCAGAAATTTTCTTTGAACAAAACAGCAATGAATTAATTAGTGGATGATGAGCTGGGGTTATGATCTTCTGCAGTGCTTTTTGTTTCTTGATATTTGTGTCAATGCAGGACCAATACAATGTGATATTGTTCTCACTGCCCCCCCCCCCCGTTAGTTGCTCCTAATCTGCTGTTCCAGGTTGGTCAGTCTGAGCTCGCTCTGAGGAGCACTAATTAAACAGAGTTTCCTCTCCGAGACACACTCCATCACAGAAGTGCCCTGTTCTCATTTCCTGTGCACACACACACATACAAATAAACTCGTCATGAGCAGTAGTGATCAGTGTAAACAGGTTTACCTGCACACAGTGAGTCTGACCTTGAACATCAGTCTCTAATTAGAAATAGGGAGGGGATGGTAAATCTTTCCGCCCCTTCCTATCCCTCTCTCTCTCACACACACAC